CACACACACACACACACACACACAGCTCTTACCGGGCCGACCGTCCTCCGCTGCCCGCAGAGGAGCACCAGTGTCGGGGCTCTGACGGGTCTCCCGCAGCTTCTGGACGCTTATCTGGACCGATCCGGGTCGTTGTCCAGCTTCACGTCTCCGGTCCGGGAGGAGGACCCTGGAGGAGCGGATCAGAACGTCCCCGGTGTCCGAGCTGCAGGAGGACTGGTCCGGCCTGAGGGCGGCGGATGAGACCCGGGTTGGAGGAGCATGTTTCATCAGAACCGTGTTAGCACGCAGGCTAACAGCTGTTAGCCTCCTTCAAACTTCCCGCCCCGCAGCGATCCGTTAGAAGAGTGGCGGGAGTTCGAGCGGAAACAGGAAGTGAGGAAAGTGAATTTAAAACTATCAAAAATAAAACGAACAAAGTTTCAGGAAGAAAAAAGAAAAAGAACCAAAGAGGAAACAAACAAACCGTTACCACAGCAAGTGTAACTTCCGCTTCCGGTCTGGACAAAGATTCGAACTGCAAAGACAGATGTCTCACTCCTTCTGTAAACCAGGACTAAAAATCCCAGAGTCCTTCTGATTGGACTAAAATGGAGACCTCATGAATATTCATGAGTGTGATGAAGTCATCAATTAACACTGGTTTTCATTCTGCGATCTGACACCTCACCACTAGGTGTCACTGAAGAACTCACTGAAATTAAATAAAGTTTCTTTGACCTGCAGGTGTCGCTCTTCTGTGACCGCGGCTTCTCAGTCACATGAACGCTGTGTTTTGATTGGTTCGTCCACAGGAAACATGTGACCCACGAACATACATGAAAGTGGAAGTGGGTTCTCCTATAATGACACATTGAACATTTATTAAACTTATATAACTTATATAAACTCATTTGTTTGGATGTTTATCGGTGCCTGACGATTTGTAAAACAAGTCTGCTGAAGCTTTGTTTAAAGTTTCCCACAATCCTTTACTTCTCATGTATCACAGATGCCAAACTACCATTTTGGGTTCGGGAGGCCGACACGGTCAACACTTCTACCAGTAGACTTAAGACTTTCCTCTTTGATAGAGCTCATAGTTAGTGCGGGCTCAGGATTAATGTTTCTAACTAAACTTCTCCCCGAGAGTTTCTGTGCAGCAGGTTCTCGTGGATCCTGCCTGACACCCCCTCTTGTTTCCATGACATTAATATGAACTTGTTTATTATTGTAGCATTGTTACATATGACCACCACTGCTGCTGTAATCTGCTCTGTGTCTCCCCGAGCTGTCTTCCACCTTCGCTTCCTGTTAAAGCGTCTCAGGACAGATTGTAAAGCTGAGGCTAAATGTGTTTTGTGAATTCGGGCGATACAAATAAAATTTGATTTGATTTGATGTCGTACACGCCCCGGTCAGGAGGGGGCGGTACTGCAGCTACAAGCTGTTTAGTGACGTCATAAAAAGCAGAAGAAGAAGATGCTCTTGTTGCACTCCGGACTGTTTAGTTTGTAACACACTGTTCGAGCAGAGGGTCAAACTGTCTTTTCTTGTTTTCGTTCATTTTATATTTAAACCAAAATCCGACGAAAGAGAATTGAACCGTTGAATATTTGAATTATTTGATTTATTCTCCTGCTGGTTTTTATTTGTCCATTTCCAACGTGACTAATAAAGTTTCTTCAAAATCTTTGAATCTGCGGCTCCGGCTCACGCGACCTTCAACCGGAAGAAGATTTTACACCAGACACCGAGAGCAGGTCAGATAAACGTGTGTGTGTGAGAGAGAGAGAGAGAGAG